CATAGGGTGTTGAAGAACGCTGATAAAAAATTTCTTGCTTACCTGAGTAGTGTCTTCCGTATCCCCAAAAATCTTCAGGCGTTTATCTATAACTATTGTTTCTGGCTCTAAGAACTTGCCCGCCGTCATCTGGATGACATCATCGTCCACCGCGGCACGAATGGCATTTGACAATGTCTGATCACCTGGCTCTACATTAATGGTCGCAGCCCGAACGGAGACACACGTGCACTGTATATATAATATCACGTATAGACGTACTATAGTCCAATACGTGTGTAATACACCTTTGTGTAGGGCCACCATGATTAATTACTTCTACGTTCACACTGGCAGGGGAATACTAGTATGCCTGAGTTATATTTTAGACCAAACGGTTTTGGTGTTAGATTATAAGGCGTCGAAAGTAATGCGACACGGCTATGTGTATAATCCGGTGCTGAAAGCTATTAAACGATGTGCGTGCTGCGTGGGGTGGCATTCGAACTAGAAACACTGTCCAGCTATCAAACACGAGATGTACGAGACTGCCGATACATACAAATGCGAAGAACGATAGCAAGTGGGCCTGGGACAGTGGACCATGTGATGTAAATACATACACATCTATTTACATAGCATTAGACGACCAGTGCGACAACTTCAGCAGGAATTCACTAATAGTTATATCACAGTCGCTGAGTCATAGAAGAGCAACAATGAGAAAATTAATTGGTGTAAATGCCGGATTGCCAAGTCCGGAGCCCCAAGTGCCAAGTGCCAGGAGAGCAATTTTCAATATGTATGTTAATGTACATTAGTTTCAAGTGTGTATAATGTACCGGAGTCCGGACTGGACAGTAGACACTGGACAGTTTTTTTACGGTTCGAGCTTTTATAAAAAATCTGCGGTTATGGATACCATAGAGCAGATTTTGGTTGCAATCTTAATTTGTATTGGTTAAAATGTTAAAATGAAGCAACGATGACAGTTAAATTTTAAAAACAAAGCATTCGCAATCTCGCTCGTATGTAGCGGCGTAGCCTCCTTTAAATAAATAAAAATTCGCTCCTGATTCTGTTACAATTTTCATATCTAAAAAATACTATTCAATTTAGAGGCCTGTGCTAATACATATGGAATTTTGTTCCTTTTAATTTTTTTATAAATATATGAGTAGCAAATACCATCTGCTGCAGAGTCAGAGGGTACATATCACATCCCTGTAAAGCTGGACTGATAAATATGATGTCGCCACATGTCATCTGAAATACGGTTTCAGATACCGTCGCTACAAACCTGTGGGCTACATCAGACGAAACGTCCCGACATGTACGTAGTCTGGTGGTTTAGTAGTCGGATGTAGTAAAACCACCAGGACAGGTGTAACCAAGAGACCTATGAACAGTAACTGTGTGTAACTGAGTGTTTGAAGTTTAAATTCAAAGCACAACACTGATTACTCGGTGATATAGATAGCTGACAGTAAAATGACTTATATGTATCGTACTCATTGTTCAGTTATCGCACCGGAGTTGAATTTCGGCAAGCCTGTACCATATTGACCCACAACTCTAATAAACTTAGTACACTTTTATTTTGTCTGCATGCTGGTCGTGAATCGACCGTGTATATTATAATCAGAATAGTGCCTTAAATTCCTTTGCGCTTCTTACTTAATTTCTATCAAGGTCGCAGCTCAGACTTCCATGCACTAAATTAAATACCGAAATCGCATACTATACCACACTGTTGTTTTCTGACGCTATTTCTGCTATCGTCTGAACTCGAAATCATCGCTAAGAGTTCTCTGGATAAACTGGCCACTTGATCAAGGCCTTAGGCTTAAAAAATTTACCAATTGCAATAGATACTAAACGGTGCTCGTGCTAGTCCGCTTCGTCGTCCAAGCTAGGATCAGACCGCTCCATACTCGTGTAAAATGATAAACCCTCAAACATATGCTTATCCATTAAGTATGTGATATAGTGTCTGTGTGTTTAAGCTGTGCTGAAAACTCATGTAACGCAAGGAGAGAGTATGATAAACGCGCCAATTCTGTAGCCACCCTCAATGGGACCCGGCAAATAAAAATTCAACATACTTAACTTACTCACAAAATTCAAACAACTTATGCTACCACATACTGATACTATTGTCTAGCCCACCAAAGATTTGCAGATATATATATATATATAATATATATATATATATATATATATACATATATATATATATATACTTATACTATATATATATACATATACATATA